GAATTCTCCCCTGAATTCAATAAAGATATATTTAAAAAACAAAACACAACTGGGAAGTAGTTATCTGCTATTTTCAAACTAGGGAGTATACACTCAGGTCTCATTTTGCCTTAGAGATGATAAAGCTGCTCCATTCCACTGTACCTATAACTAGTTTAGAAAAATGTTGGGTATTTAGTATGATTACAATGTTGGAAGGACTCTTAAAAGACCATCAGTCTAATTTTACTTGCAAAGTAGTGGTATTGTGGCAGAATGCATGGGCGAACAATGAGCCAGCACTCTGAGAGAGGAAAGTTTAACCTTTATTTTGCAGATCTGCTAGTCCAGTGGAATTCTGGATCCAAACCCTGAGCTGAACTCATGGGGAAGCTCTGTCCTATATATCTCCTCCTGTGGCCCCTGACAGTCCCCACAGCTCCACCCAAATCAGTCTTGGTGGGGCCCTGGGTTTAGGCTCTGTAGCTCCTTCCAAGTCAGTCAGTGTGGGGAAGTAAGATTACAGTTTTAATGAGATACTGAACTAGGTTGCAAGCTTCCCTCCCCCTCCATTTTCCTTTTCATTCCCCAGCTTGTTCCACAAGATAGTCTTAGCTTTGGGGATTACAAAAGACTCAGAAAGTGGAGATAAGGTCGATGACCGCTCTAGCTACTTTGTGCTAAAGGGGGTTCAGTATCTGGTTAATGCTTGTCTTGAGATAAATGCATGTGTGTCTGATTCAGTGGTTACCTACTAGATCACCAGGAAGGATCTTTACTCTTCATCTCACGCAAACTTGGAAAGATCCAGTTTATTCTGGACTCTTCTGTAGAATAAACTTCTCCCTCCACTTCCCAGCCAATGGTAGTATTAGTGAACCTAAAAGACTTCTGTGGGAACATGTACATGAAGAATTACTGTACTAGCAGAGTGAAAGGTATTGGAGACCGTAGAGGTTTGAAGAAGATGAATTCCTGAAAGAGACATGAGCACAGGGAACAAAGCCAAGAATGGATGTCCATCATAGCTCTAAGCCACACAGTAGTGACTGTTTACCCACAAGGCATCCCACCCCAAATCAAAGGCTTGACTGAACACCAGAAGTCAGTCCTGACTGCTGAGGGGGCTGTGGATCAGGCCCAGAGAGAGGCCTGGAGAGAGAAGTCAAGTCTGATCTGTAGCCTCAGTGGAAGCTATTGATCAGCCCTTGCCTCTCTCTTTCTCTCCAGGCCTGGCCAGCAGCTGCGTCTCTCTTTCTCTCTGGGCCTCCGCTGGGGCTGCTGATCAGCCCCAGAGATAGGCCCGGAGATGCTGACTGGCACAGAAACTGATCAATCAGAACCAAATCTGGGTGAACTGTGAGGAGCCAGTGGCTGCCTAGGAGGCAGAGCTTTTGATGCTGACTGACATAGAAACTGACCAATCAGAACTAAATCTGTGTGAAGTGTGAGGAGCCAATGGCTGCCTAGGAGGCACAGCTTTTGATGCTGACTGGCATAGAAACCGACCAATCAAAACCTAATCTGGTGAACTTCGAAGGCAGAACCTAAGGTGGGAGCTGAGAAAGGGTTTTAAGGGCAATAGCTGTTTGATGTAAGGTGTAAGAAAGTGGTTCAATTTTTTAATGAATGGTTTGGCAGTATAGTTCATATGGCCGGCTATCAGTCCAGATATAGGGATTATGTATTTTTGTCTGCCAAGAGCATTTCCTCCTGATGAAAAAGGCTTCTCCCCGCCCCCACCCCCATTTAAGCAATATTATCCTATATAATCTATCTATACTACTGGGGTAATATGCTAATTAGACCTGGTTGACCAGCCATCTTACGGATGTCCAACTTCCTTCCAGACAAAGCCATGGTGGTGGGGGTCGAAGCAGAGGCCATTAAGGGTGATCAGGCCAGCAGGGGAGGGCAGTTGAGGGCAACCAGGCCAGCAGGGGAGGGCAGTTGGGGGAACCAGGATGACAGGGGAGGGCAGTTGGGGGCCAGACCAGGGAGGCAGGGGAGGGCAGTTAGAGGTGATCAGGCAGGCAGAGGCATTTGTGGGTGAGCAGTTGGCGGCGAGATCAGCCTGGAAGGGAAGGCATTTAGGGGTGATCTGGCAGGCAGGCATTGGCAGTTTGGGGCAATCAGGCAGGCAGCCAGAGAGGTTAGGGGTAATTAGGCAGGCAGGCAGAGGAGGTAAGGTGTGATCAGGCAGGCAAGCAGGTGAGCAGTTAGGAGCCAGCAGTCCCAGATTGCAAGAGGGATGTCCAACTCCTGGTTTGGGCCTAAACCAGCAGCCTGACATCCCCCAATTGGAGAGGGTACAGGCTGGACTGAGGGAACTTTCTAATTCCATCATTTCTCCCATTTGGAGGCTGAAATTGTTCCTGATTTTCCAGTGGGAGCATCTTTAAGATGACTCCTCATTATTCCCCCCCCGTCCACAAATTTCGGGGCCACTAGTACAAGAATAAACTTTGTGAGTCTTGTCCAGTTTGGCTCAGTGGATGGAGCATTGACCAGTGGACCGAAGGGTGCCATGTATGATTCCAGTCAAGGGTACATACTTCAATTGCAGGCTCCTCTTTGGATGGCAACCAATCGATGTGTTCCTCTCACATAGATATTTCTCTCTATTTTTCCCTCTCTCTAAAAATCAATGGAAAAATATCCTTGGATTAGAATTAAAACAATAAATAAATAAATTTTAAAAAGCATAAACTCTGTGTTTCATGTACTTAAACAATAAACCTACTTTTGACTCACCCATAAATAAAGATTTTCATTTTAAATCTGATTTTATTTCTTGAAAATGATTATGTGGGGAAAAATAAAAATTGTTTGTCCAGTTCTGGCGATCCAAATTCTGGTGAGAAGAGGACCAGAATCAAATTCTGGTGAGAAGTTGATTTTACTTGTGATTTGGGGTGGGAAACTTTGTGGGGAATCAGTCACTGCTGTGTGGCTGTGAGCTATGACTTGCCCTTCTGTGCCTTCACCATTTCCTGTACTGTGCACCAAGTTAGTTTGAACTGGATGATGAGCACCACCTGCAGGTAGAAAACTGGAGAAAATATGTGAATACAGTTCAGCATTATTATGGATCAGGACAAAAGCCCAGTAAACTCTCTGGATCATCTCTGAAATTTAGTTTCTTTTTTATTAAGGGACAATATGTCAGGTCCAGTCCTGCAGGGGGAAGCAGCCCTAATTTTGGCAGAATCTGAGAGACCTCACTACCTCCTTCACAGAGGAAACAGAATCCACCAGAAAGGACTTTCATACCTTC